CCCCCCCATTTGAGAAAGCTGTACAAGTAGGGTACCAGTGTCTCAGTATTCATCTTTTCCCTTTGATCTACAAGATTTTATACCCAATACAGTTTCTCCCATGTTGGACAACTCTTCTTCTTCACCCGTTGGTCCATCTTCCTCTTCTGAAGCTTTCAATAATTCTGCAGAAAACTCTGGGGTTTCTAATAGAAGGAAAAGAAGACCTGCTGGTACTCCAGGTATATAACCCTTAACAACTTCTCTTCTTTTTTTTTTTTTTCCCAATAAGCAAGTCTAGGGGTTTGGTCGAAAAAGTACACTATACAAATAGAGAAAAAACGAGTTTTTTTGTAATATATAAATTGTTAATCCCCTTGACATAAATATTTTTTTTGTACAGTGGCAAAGTAAGCTGTGACATTGTAGGAATTTTTTAATTCCCTTGCATAAATTTTTGGCTCCGTGTCACTGACAGTATGTTAACAATTTTCCATACGTTAATTGTCACAGATCCAGATGCAGAAGTGGTTTCACTTTCGCCCAAGACTCTGTTGGAATCAGATAGGTATATATGTGAGATCTGTAACCAAGGTTTTCAAAGGGACCAAAACCTTCAGATGCACAGGAGAAGGCACAAGGTGCCATGGAAGTTAGTGAAGAGAGAGACACCACAAGTTAAGAAAAGGGTATTTGTGTGTCCAGAGCCAACTTGTTTGCACCATCATCCATGTCATGCCCTTGGAGATCTTGTTGGGATAAAGAAACATTTCAGGAGAAAACACAGTAATAATAAGCAATGGGTTTGTGAGAAATGTTCTAAAGCTTATGCTGTTCAGTCTGATTACAAAGCACATCTCAAGACTTGTGGTACTAGAGGCCATTCTTGTGACTGTGGCCGCGTATTTTCCAGGTGTACCAACATTCTGTTTTTAAATAGGTTTATTTTGTTTTATTTATTGCATTTCTGAACATCTTGTGAGTTTCATGAAACTAGAGCGAAATTCTAGATATTCTTTAGGCTGGCATAATCCAGAGTTCCAAGATTCTCTTAACCTGTGTCGTGCAATTCTTCAAAAATTTTGTTGTACTCATGTTGGATCTTTTAAACTACTTTTCAAAAATCCAACATGTACCCAGCAATATTTTATTTTTAAAGAGTGTTAGCAACATAACCATTTCTCATTATGGACCTTGTGGCTTTCATGGAAATTAATTTTTACCTTTTCTTTAGTCATTTCTTTTACAAAGTCTTTAACTTCTCTTTGAGTTTTGTCATAATCCTTGTGGAGATCGAAGAGGTAGACAAACATACATTCCTTAATCCTGTTACAAATTCCAATACCCTAATAACAACTAGCAGCCAATGGAAGCGATACACAGGCCAGGGGTTCACTACTTCCCATAAATACTTCAATTTTTTTTAAAAAGAAAATTAAATATTCATTGTTAAGAACACAATGTGCATCTTTCTTTGTGCTACGTATTAATTGACTTTCACATTCTTATTCAATTTAATATTAATATGACTAACAAAATCATCTCTGAAAATAGTTTTTTTTGTTCAAAATTTTGTCCCTGGTACTTTCTTTTTGCTTTTCTTAGGTAACCCTACAAGAAGTAGCCTCTTTTGTTTTTATCTTGGCCAGTAACTACCCCTAGCTAGCTAGCTAGCTTTGTGCAAAGATCAAGATACCAAATTATTGATGGTTTCTTCTGCCTCACAAGCTAATTAATCCTTGTCATTTTGGTCAAAAAGTTTGTTATACTATTACTCCTATTAATTAATATGCATCATAACAAAATACGAGATAAACAAGTCTTGACACTAATATTAATCCTTGTCATTTGACCTTGCAGAGTGGAGAGTTTTATTGAGCACCAAGATACTTGCACTGTAAGGAGAAGTAGTAGTACTAGGCCAGATTTGCAACCATTGCAAGCTGGTTGTTCTTCAAGAACTGCTTCAAGCACTAGCCCTTCAAGTGATACAAATTTCAGCAGCATTGCCCCTAATTTACCAAGATTGACAATAATGCCTCTGCCTAATAATTCTGATCAGCACAACGAATTCCCTAGTAGTAATAATAATGATCAGCAGCATAATTTGGAACTTCGCCTTTTACCATCTTCAATTGCATGTCCCTCAAGAACCAGTGATCATGAAAATCAAGCACCCCATTTGAAATTGTCAATTGGATCATCTACTAGAGATTCAATATTGGTGTCAAAAGATCACAAGGAACTGAATTTGGCAATGGCTGAAAAGGCTTATGCTGAGGAAGCAAGAAGACAAGCAAAGAGGCAAATTGAATTCGCAGAGTTGGAATTTGCTAATGCAAAGAGAATCAGACAACAAGCACAAGCTGAAATTGAAAGAGCTCAAAATTTGAAAGAGGAAGCTACAAAGAGAATAAGCTCTTCAATCTTGGAAATCACTTGCCATGCTTGCAAGAATAAGTTTCAAGCAACTGATGAGTCTTCTCCAGCTATGAGTTACATGTCTTCTGCAACAACTGAAGCTGAAGGAGAGCATTAATTAATGAGAAAAATAGCAGTGTGTTGGTTAGGCCTTTTTTTTTGTTGGTATATCTGTGTTTCACTGTCTTTCTCATGCAGTAAAATGTAGGCTTCTACCTTTTTTCTTTTATAAAGAAGATTATCAGTATGTGTTTCTTTTTGAATAAGACTCCTTGAATCATTCAAACATTTTTTATGCAATAAAGGGATGATAACAGTATGAACAGTAGGGCGTGGCACATCTCAGTTTTGTATAGTATAATTTAACTTATATGGCAGATTTTATATTATGGTGTATGTGTACAACTTTGGAAAACAATTGGTAAAACAATGATGTACAAGTTTTAATTTCTCTCTTCTTTTCTTGGTTGAAACTTTTTCAATGAAACGACGTACGAAAAATGACTTTTAGCTTTTCAGGATGGCAGTAGTGATAACCAGATCTGCAACGAGATTATATTTTTGGAAACATGACGTTCATTTTGTATTTTGCCAGTTTCAAATAGAAACTTTGCCTTCACAAGTTTTGAAAGGTTAAAGAACGATGAGCAAAGAGCAATAGTTTTATTTTTAATCCGACAAGTGAACTTCTTTATTCATAGCAAAACCAAGCGCTAATAAATTGGTGATGGATACTAGAATATGATATGTTTTTCAGTTGCAAATTTTGCACAATTTTGTAACGAGCAAATAAAATCTATCATAGCATCCTCTTCACCTAATTTTTCTAAATTCATACAGAAAGCCAACAAGCTAAGATATTAATGTTTCATAAGGTATATAAGCAATAGGCAGCTTTTCCTTCGAATTAAGCACGTGCTTTATTCCTTTAAATGTCACCCAACACTGGGGATTCTATACACTAATGTTTTAAAAGATAATTACACAATTAAGTCGCATATCGATAATAAAGAGTTAATTACTAACCATGTGAAAAATAATTAACTTGTTATCACACAGTCTAAACTATATAAAAGACCTTTAAACGATCAGTATATATAACTTAAATATAAATATGCTTCTATAAAGCTTTTAATACAATTAAAGACTAATTCACTTCTTCCATCCTCCCCTCTTCCGTTATTAAACAATGTAAAAAGAAAAAAAGATAGAACAACTATATTTTGTTAAGCTCTTTGATCGTGATCTTACTTAGAGATCCATACTTTCAGCTGATGGTCTAACTTTAATTTTGTTAATTAATCATGTGTTAGGCTCGTTTGGTTTGAACAAGAAAGACATGATAGATATTATCACATAACAGTATTGTAGGATGTATGATGAACGGTAGGACCAATAGCCACCCCTGCCTTAATCAAACCTGTTAGATCTACATATGAGTGTTTGGTTATGGGCTGGTGGTGACAATGTTTACCTAATTCCTTATCTATCATTGTAAGGAAGTTCATGTCTTATACATACTCTAAATATTCTCAACTAAAATTTTCCTTTTCATTTGATTGTGACGCCGTGTACAAATTTTACGTCAATAAAATATGGGAGAGATATTGAATATATAAAGAAGCAAGTTTTAGACTTACGTATTTTAAAACTGTGTGAGCTTTAATTTGGCATGAAACAAACAATATTAGTCGTAGGCTAGGTCTAGGTGCCGAAGGGATTTAATATCCTCACTAAAGTTTGTTCCACCGTCGTATCAAATATGTGAAACTTATTTTGTCTAAAATCAGTTAAAAGCTAGGTTTTCTCACCATTCCTAAATGAGATTTTTACACGATTGCTTCCTATTTGAAGATTATTTTCATAAATAGTAGCATTTTTTGTTTATTAGAAATATGATAGATTTTTTTTACCTTTTTAGCAGGATTGAAAGATTATGTGGTTATTTAAAAAATCTATTGCCCCTCAAAACAAGAAATTCGTTTCTATCCTTACATTAATTATGTCAATGTTCTTTATTTGATACCTTGTCCCTCTCTCATAAAGTTATCGTAATTTCTCAAAAAAGTTCTCAATTCTACCATCTCTCAATTCATTGATGATTCATCTTCTTATTATTTCTTTTTTAAATATTTAAATCTCTGGATATTAAATATCTTAGTTCCTTATACACATTATATATTACTATATATTAAGTATAATATATAAAAATACATGTGATGCACTTAAAATACACATATATATATTATTAATATATAATATGTATTTTATGTGCATCACATGTATATTGTGTATATTATTAATATATAATATGTATTTTATGTGCATCACATGTATATTTATATACTATACAAAAATATATATGTAGTATATAATGTGTATTTTAAGTGCATCACATGTATTTTTATATATTTTTATATAATATATATATATATTATATACACATTATATTCTACTAATATTTTTAGAGTTTTGTAGAGTTTTTGAATGAAATTTATATTTTTTTGCCTTAATTAATAAAATAAAAGTCCCTTGAAGGAAGGTAATTACTTTGAGTCTATTTTTACTCAATTCATGATTCTTCAGAGAGATTTTTGGAACAATAATTGGATGTGATTCTCTGTTAAAGGTCAATTTTTGGATAGTTAATTACTGAACGTAAATTTCCTTTGGCCAAATATGAAATATTTGGTTTACTGCTACATATATATTATATTTTATTTAATATTGTCTAGTTATGAAACTTGCCCTTCCTAAATAGCATGCGAAGTGGCTCTTGAACCATGTATAAAAGCTCAGCTCACTAGTGATAAGTTCTGCGATTCTAGACCAAAACAGATAATATCACTCATAGACCGAGCTTGTTACATTGTTATAAACCTTTCCTTGTACTTGAAATTATTTTAATAGAAAATATTAAAAGAGAAAAAATAATTAATTTCAGTATTGGACATATTTAAACTATGTATAGTAAATGAGGCAATATATGGCCGTAATAAAAGTTGTGGTGTTTGATATTAGTACTTCTCTTGGCATGTACTGTTGCTCAGTTCAGAAGAAAAAATGAACCCCTATGAAGTACAAAATTTGAACTAGCGCTCTAGTCTCGTTGCTTATGTGACCGCTTCACAACAGATCAGCTCAGTAACAAATGATGAGCACTTCACTTCGCGCTATGTAAAAATAACTCTCAACATTTAGTTTACTTTATGTTTAATTAAAAATTTCTTTTATACAAAAACCAATTTAACAAATTTTGGAAAGAGAAGTCTCTGTATCTTTTGTATTATAACTTACTACTCCCTCCGGTCCTTTTTAACTGATTTATTTTTTGTTCTTTTCACACATATTAAGAAATTCATCTTTTAATATTAATTAACAATAAAATTATCCTTATTAACCTTAATTTGTTCATTGAAAATATAACAAACTACTCCTTGGAGTTTTACTCCAACGACTACTTTGAAAAGAAGAAGTTAATTTCTTGATATCTGGGAAAAAAAAAATATTGTATACCACAAAAAAAAAATATATCAAAAAATCACTTAAAGAAATGCAGCGGATGGAGTAGTGATCTTTTACAAAGGTATATATAGCATTTGACAAGTACAAATCCTTTTACCTTTCTCAACAAAAGAGGGTAAAAGGAGCTACACTTCTCTCTTGGTAGGAAGTTGGAGATTTTTATAGTTCGGTTCATATTAAATGCTTCAACAAAGGAAGGTTGCCATGTTTTCAGTGCCACTGTTGAATGGTTAAAATTAGGCATTTGTCCTTCTCAGCTACAAAATCACACACAACACAAGAAGCAGAAAAGACACAGTCTGTTTCTCTCTCATAGGTGGTTCTCTTTTATCAAGGGAAATTACACACGAAGGTCTGCAGAAACGAGACCTTTTCATTATTCTAGCTAAGACGAACTTTAACCAATTGCTGCTTTTACCAATTAATTTGTCCATCTTTTTAACAAAAATGGTAAAAATGGGTGTAAGGCTTGAAACTTCTGTTTCAATTCTAAAGAAAATTGTCCAAGCCAACTCTTTTCTACTCTTTTTCCCTCTTTTACAGAATCCAAGCCAACTCTTTTTCATTTTTTTTCAGAATCCCAAGCCTACTCTTTTACTCACTCCTATTTTGCTGTTTTATTATTATAATGAGATGATTTATAACCATATAAATTTTATGACTTGTTTTAAACTATAAGTTTCAAAAGTTTTTTCTTTTTTTCATAAATTTCATATTTAATCAAATAACACCGTATAAATTAAAACGGAGAAATTATTACATAACTTTACCAACCTTGATAATAGTACCAAGACAGTAAGCGAGTAACCCAGACTTGTTCAAAAGCAGAAATTACAAGAGGTGGTAGATGACAATATAAAGTTAAGCTCTCAAAAATATCCAAATTGCTCCTGTATCTTGCAAGTTTGTCGGCAACCGATTTTGTATGGTCCTAACAATAACATTAATGCCAATGAATAAAGATTTAAATTAGTCTTAAATAGATACCTGTTTACTCATAAAAAATGATCGTTAGTGTCAAAAATAAATTAAAAGAGATGATTGTAAAGGACAAAATCGCTTCAAAGGATTGTCTATGTAATTCTATGTAATACAATATCCAACTCGTTATATGTACTTCTTTGTGTCCTTGTTCTTGGATTGATGCTTTAATTACATATGCTTCATTTTATTTACGTTGGATTGTGTTGAAAGTTAAATTTGAGTTTAAAAAACGTTTGGTTGATTTCTGAATTAGTCGTAGGACAAAATAAGGGATAAGAACGCTACAACAAGAGGGCCCAGACTTGATGGTAACTGTGAGTCGAATAAACGCTTAAATATATCTTCATGATTTTATAGGTTGTATAAGTATGTAATCGTCTTGTAAAGGCAATTATAATTACAAAAAATTAAATACGTTAATTAGGTGAAATGTGTAGCGGTGCTTCGCATTAGCTACACGGATAGACCATATTTGACGGTTGATGTGGAATGAAACGTGGACTTGTATATACTCGATATGGACAAATGGTGTGATCAAATGCGGAACTAGAATTTAAAGTTTATATATGGGTTTTGAGTTTGTCACTTAACTCATAGTTCGTCTTAATTATTGAATTTACTATTTGATATTTATACATATTTCTTATATTTTCTAATACAAATACAGGATTTAAGCAAAAGTTATTGAATTCGTCTGGAACCCATAGCTTATGCTCTCCTTCCGCCCCGATGTGGCATGCCACATAAACAAGAACTTCAACCACTGATTGAGGACATGG